GTCCCTCCTCTAGCACATCGGCCACAACGCCTCCACCAGCAGGATGAGCGCCAGCAACCTGGCCATCTGCGCTGGGCCAAACCTGCTGAGCCCAGGCAATGAGAACATGCTCCTGCTGGAGGCCATGGTGCAGGTGACTGAGAAGGTACGCTGGATTGAGCAGCTGGCTGCAGCCTTCTCAGCCCATCACAGCTTGCCTGTTCAGAGGTCCCTGGCTGCCTCCTTTCTTGAGCAGGGTGGCAGGGTGGCTGCCTGGAAGAGCAGCCCCACAGCCACAGCCGTCTGCACAGAGGCAAGGGTCAGGAGCAGGAAAGGCGGCTTCACACGTTTTCAGCCACCTGCCCTGAAACCAAGGCTGTGATGTGTGCAGGTAAACGTGCTGGTGGAGTTTATGATTGAAAACCACTGTGAAATCTTTGGGGAAAAGGTGGCTGGCCTTCCCTGTCTCTCCGCTGAGGAGTCGCCAGCACCCATGGACAGATGCACAGGTATGAGGAGGGAGTGAGGATTGTCACAGCCGGAGGGTAAAGCTGGTGTAGGGCTTTGGGTGGGTTTTGCTTCAGCTGTTGTGCACTTCACACAAGTCACTTTGTTGGACGTACTTTTGCTTTCCAGAGCTGCTTGTGGAAGAGGAACGTGGCCCTGCAGGGGAAGAAGACGTGGAGCAGGAGACAAAAACCTGCCTGGAGACACCACCTGCTCTGCTCATTCTCAAGGAAGCAGGAGGGCCACATATGGCAGCCAGATCAGAAAAGGCAGAGGTATGGCAGGTCCACAAACACTAGGACAACGTGTCTCATGTAAGAGGGTACTTTCTAATGAGTCCAAGGAGCTGCTCTGCCTCTTCCCAGCATTCAATGTCTTGTAGCTTTGTGTGGGCTTTTTTAATCCCTTGGGATAGGGAAACTGTAAAGGTGGTGTCTCCAATGTGTTAGGCATGTGCTTAGTCAAAGGAAATACCTACAAAATACCTGCTGAATGACAGATTTCAAAAGAAAAGCCTCCCACCACACAATATGGTATTGCACCAAAGGGATATCCGCAGAGCTCTGCCTTGGGAGGGCAGAAGAAGTAGCAGCAGAATGAAGCGGGCAAGCCTTTTCTTGCCCACAGGGGGACCGCAGGCTCCCTGTTGAACAGTCCCCCCGAAATAAGCTGTGCCACACACCTGTGTGAATGTTGTGTTCCAAAGTGAGGTCCTTGGAAGAAAGGGCTAATGCCAACCAGCCAAAGGCATCTTCTCTAGAGAGCTAACGGGAACAATTTACCAAATAGTCACTTACTACTCCAGGGCGTCCCTTGCCACCTGCTAATGCCAACATTTCTGGTTTAGGTACCCACCACTTTGACTCCAACTACCCCAGAGACCATGGTAGACTCCCTGGGGTCCGCAGAAGAACAAAGGAGCCTTTCAGAGGAAAGAAGGAAAAATGAGTGAGCTTGGGTTAAATCAAGACCTGATTAATGCAGTTGATCTCAGCTTTACCTATCTAATCCCACTGTGGGATGGAAAGGTTTGCAGGCTCGCACGAGGATGCGGAAAACGGAATAAAAAGGAAGAGACAAGAAGACTTGGAAGAGGAGACGGAATACCAATAAGAAGAGAAAAGAAGGAAGAGAGGAAGAAGACGGGGACTGAAGAAAAGAAGAAAGGTCCAGACGCTGAAGAAGCCCAGGTGAGTACCAGGCTCTGCTGCCCATCTTTCCAGACTCCTTTCCAAACTCCTGTTCCAAGTCAGTCCAAGTGGCTGGCAAGGGGTGGTGAGAGATAGTCCTGTGCAGGGTTTGGAAAGAAGTCCGTGGCAGCTGCCCAGGGGCTCCCGATGGAGCCCTGCTGCATGGCGCAGGGGCACTGTGCATCTCTGCACACGCACAGTCTCTAAGGGCATTCCCCATGGGGACAAGGCGCCAGAGCCATCCCCTGCTCAGTGCCAGCAGGAGCTCTCTCTGCTGGGCCAGAAACCACAGATGCTCTCCTCTACCCCTCTTCAGAGAGAGAGGCAGAGGAGGAAAAAGAGACTTACGAGTTTAGAAGGAACTAAACTACTTTAATGAAATATTAATAATAAAATAAAAAAGAAATAATGAAATATATACAAAACCGTATCAAGCTCCCGAGATGACAATCACGACACCGGCTGGCACTGGGGCAGTCCCAGGCTGGACTCAGTGACGGACGGGAACTGGATTCCGGATCTGCATTCAGGATCGGGATCGCAGGCAGACGAAAAGAGTCCTCCTCAGACGTCGGCCATTGCAGGAAGAGAGAGCTGACCTTTCGATCCCTCAGCCTTTATACTGAGCATGAGGCAGATGGGATGGAATACCCTCGTTGGTCAGTTTTGGGTCACCTGTCCTGTTCGCTCCTCCTTGCAGGTGGGACCCCACTATGCTTTTCCGCTTCCGACCCTCCAACGGGGCAAATAACAAAGTTGGTTGGCCTTGGTTGTTATAGCAATAAGTATAAGCAAGGTCCTCTCTGCATACCATGGCTGGGCATCAGCTATAAACACAGGTCTTATCACCCTGAGAGAGTGAACATTGTCTGCACAATATGCTGTTAATTTCAGTTGTTAGAGAGGCCCAGCTAAGAAGCGAAGTTACTGACCAAAATTGGTTCTGTTTTACCTCAAACCAGGACACCAGTGCTTTCTGACTCTCTCCTTGTAGGTGCCGATTCCCTCTTAGTGGCTGAACCCCTGTGACTCCTGGGCTCCTGCACGCGATGTTCACAATAAAAGGATCTTTGTTTTCTTGAAACATTTTTGTATACAGTGTATGTATTTCATTATTTTCATTTATTTTCTTTGTTGATATTTTCATTAGTGGCTTAGTTTCTTTTCTCAACTGGTGTGTGTCTTTTCTCTCTCCTCCTTCCCTCCCTGAAGGCAGATGCTCTCCCTTCTCTGAAGGCGAGAGAAGTAAATGAGAACATCTAGCATTCGTTTCAGTGGCCAAAAAACCCCACCTTGCTTTCCCAGTTTGTGCCTACACACAAGTCTTCCTACTAAGGGACACCTTTGAAATATGGCACTCCTTGAAGACACGGCTGGTTCCATAGTGAGTTACCTTATTCCTGGTTGGCAAACGGAGAAGCCCAATGAGGGTAGGTCCCCCATGTGCCCTATGTCCAGGTGTGTAACACCTTCCTGGGGGACACTTGACATGCTACTAATATAAACAACTGAAGTAACTAATATAAGAACTGATGTTTTTCCCTGTTCCCAATATCCCTGGGTACCTGAGACATTGGCTGTGGTCCTGCCTGAGAGCCCCAGGCCCTGGAGTGGCAGCCGGAGGATGAGTACATCAAAGGACCCTGATGGCAACCCTGCAGGGCTTCCTACATTGGCCCAACAGGCACCTTTCCTTTTCACACAGAGCATCTCATGGGCTGCACAAGGGATGCTTTGGAGAGTTTCTGGCCAAGCTTGGGGGACTCAATGATGGCCATACCCATCTTTTCCCACTGGCCACGTGCAGACACCAGAGCAGCCCAAGCCTCCTCTCCTCACTCCTTGGTCCTCTGTGGTTTATGGTCAACTCAACATTTTCACCAGAACGCGGGAAACAGAGGGAAACCCGGGAAAGTCTCTTGTGTTTCCCTCACAGATGGAGCCTGCTGCAGGACCGTGCCCACAGCTGCAGTGGCGCATGCAGCTCATCCCTAGGAGCCAACCTTGGCTTCATAAAGAGATCAGATCTTGAAGCCTGTTTGAATCCATAAAGTAGTCCTGGACCAGACGGGAGAGTGCGCTGCCTGTGAGCATCCTTGTCTTTAATCTCTTTTTAATCCTCCAAAAATTCATGTGACTTTTGAAAATTATTCCACTATTGAATGGACAATAGATCCCTTTCAGGCAGGTACAGTGTTTACAGGAGTGAGAGGAATACTCAAAAGTCTGCACTGCATTGCCCAGGGGTGGCGCTGAGTTGCCCACAGAGGGCCCTGAGTTTATAGGATCACAGAACGTCTCAAGTTGAAAGAAAACCAAAAGGATCATCACGTCCAACTCCCTGCTCCTTGCAGGACTACTTAAAACCTAATCCTATGGCTCAGAGCATTGTCCAGCGCTCAATAGTTGCCCAGGGCCTTCACCTGGTTGCCCAGAGGCTGCACAAAGTTGCGCAATGAGAGTAATAAGTAGTCCAGGGTAAGAATTAGGATGCCACCTGAGGATATTTTCCCTCCCAAGGGTAGCCCCGGCTTGCCCATGGAGACCAGCGGGTTGCCCAAGGGCTGCATCAGGTTGCCGTAGCGGCTGCAGGGAGCTGCCCGGGCAGAACCCAGTCCCTGAGCGCCCTGCGCCCCTGGCAACGCTGCCCTGCTTCTGTGTCACACAGGGCACTGGGGACACTGCAGTCTCTGGCAGTGCTGCCACCTAACCCCACAGCACAGCAGTGAGTAGCAGCCCCCCCGCGCACCCCCAAGCCTCTGGAGGCTGAGGGGAAGTATGCGCTTTGACAGATGGGAGGACAAAAAAGCAGGTATTTCTCCTCATCCCCCCTGCTAACAACTCTTCTCTCATCCAGATGGAACCAAAGAGGTGGTTGGGGGCTCCCATCATGTGTTTGTGTTCAGGGGTGGCAGAAAGTGTCACCCTGCGATATGGCTTATCCCCAGGGGGATGCAGTGGCATTGATTTCAGCTGGAAATGCAGGGAAAAGTAACCCCCGTCCATTCCCAAGGGGTTTTCCTCCTGTTGCTAAATGTGTGCCTGTCACCATCTGAAAGAGAATCATTCCTTTGCAAGGCTGGGAGCCAGGGGGAGCTGTCTCCTACTGTCCGAATGCTGTTTCTCAGGTGTGAAGAGGTGGCACAGAGCTCGGGAAAGTGCAGCTGTTTATCCCCCACAGGGACAAAAGGGTTCAAGTGACTGCTTTGTGGGAACCGGCACACACATTTAGTGGGACCTAAGCACAGACAGTTCCTCCTTGGTTCTGACGAACTGTCTTGCAGGGTAGTGTTTGCCAAAGCTTTTTTGCTAAATGTGAGGGTGTGAGTTTCCCGCTGCCTGTCCCACAGCCTCTTGGGTCAGTCTGCATCCTGGGGTGAGACTCGGTGCCCACAGCTATGCTGCTCTCAAGTCCGGTCCGGGGGCAGCCTGTGCCAGAGTCACCAAAATTGGACATGGCTTGAGATTTGAGTCCTCAAAGCTCCATCTTTCCCAGTTGCAGGCGGTGCACTTCTGCCCTCTCACTCATCCCTGCTTTTCTCGCATTTGCCCTCACTAAAGGACCCTTTATTCTCCTGCATTTGATGCTCATTTATTTCACAGCTGCATTTGGAGACACTGTTCCTCTGAGTGCAGCAAACCCTTACAGGCACGGGTAACACAAAAAGTCTCTGAGGTCACCTGTCCCCGTAGCTACATGTTGGAAAACATACAGTTTCATCAGGTGTGTTGTCTGCTCATCACCTGCTGTCAACGCACACGGCTCCAAGAGAGGCAAGGAACAGGCTGCGAGCGTCTGGCATGAAAGAGGGTGTCCCCGGGTGGACAGTGACAGCAGCTCACAGGCAAAGCCTGCCTGTCTCGGTATGCCTCCCACCTATGGCCTGGGAAGCTTTCCAGTAGGAAACGGTGAGTCCTTCATCCTGCCCGTGTGTAGAGAGAGAAATTCCTTGGTGCGGAGGTGAGTAAAATGAAAGAAACTCTCTTTCCCAAGGGTTTGATGACTTTACAAATAAGCCAGCCTGTCTCAGCTCGCCTACACACACAAAGCGATCATGGTAGCCCTGGAGGAGCCATTCAGCCTCTAGTTACGAGGTTGCTCGTGAGGGTCATTGTTCTAGACTAAAATAGAGTTCGTTTCATGCAAGCATCTCATTTTTGAAGGAATCAAATGGCTTTCATGATGGAACAAATGGGATTTGTGTCAAAGCCCACTCCCATCGAGGCACCTTGTTCATAGAATTGAAGTTGGAAGGGACCTGAAAGATCATCATCATGCCAGTGCAGGTTCACCTACAGCAGGTTGCACAGGACAAAAAAATAATTAAAGGCAGACTGCCCCATGCAGTGCCTCACTTGGATGTGTCCTAAAGGGGGGGCCAAAGTTGATAGCTCATTTGAAGGGGTTCCAGGAGGCAGTGAGGATCAGCATCACTTTTCCCAGCTGGCCTAACCTTGACTGATGAATGGTACGTCTCTATCAGGAAGGTCGTCCACTTCAACTGAGCACGCAGTGTCAGCAGGGATGCACATGGAGCGGTGAGGGAGGAAGAGGGTGTGCAGCTTTGGCAGCACGGGCTTACCGTGGTCTCTCCTTCCCCTCCTAGGATCTCGGTGCCAAAGATGTGAGCCAAGTTCACAGATAACAATATCCTCTGCTCCCAGAGCCAACGGGCAGCCTCCACCAAGCTGTGCAACAACATTGAGGACCTGCTGGTGGTGATGGCCAACGAAATGCGGCACCACTTCGACAGGGTGAACGTCATCTTCACCAACAGCATCACCGAGACAGCCCACGCCAAGAACAATGTTCAGACCCACCTGGCCAAGGTAGCCTGAAACCCTCCCATTCCATGGGACACTGTCACTTCCCAGGGAGACCTCCCAAGTGGGACCCTCCACGCAAACTTGGCCCAAGCAGAGGAACGGTCTCTGCAAGAAGCTGGTTATAACATCATTTTCTGTTTGAAACTCGACGTGGGGGTGGTAGTACTCAGGAGCTTGAATGACTGAATGACAACATCAATCATGTTTTTTTTCCAAAGGAAGAAAGGGGGAAATCCTATGCCCAAGGAGCCCCTCACCAATGCCATGCTAGAAACCGCTTCCATGACGGGACTGTTCATGAGAGTTTCTTACTGCTTTCCAGCCTTGTCAGCGAGGTCCACGAAAAGGAGGAGAGGATCAAGAGCCTTCAGCAGCGGCTGAGACACACCAAGTACACCCTGCAAATGCTGCTACATGCCGAGTCGGTCTTGCAGCATGACCTGGCCATCAAAGCCAACACGCTATTCATTTCCCAGGAGAAGTGCAAGGGCATTCACAAGACCTTTCCCAGCACTCTCTAGCTGGTGGTTGCCATATAGGTTGGGCTCAGCCGAACTCATGGGATCTGTTGCGGGAGGGATTCCCGGTTTTGCTATAACCGTTGAAAAATGCAAAAGTAGACTTTGACTCCAAAATGAAAGACACAAGGTGTTTTTCTGTTTTAAGTCCTTAGAAAAGAAGACAGGGCCAAAGTTGATAGCTCATTTGAAGGGGTTCCAGGAGGCAGTGAGGATAAGCATCACTTTTCCCAGCTGGCCCTTTTGGTTTGGGAGCAGTGGGGAATGGGTGCAGTTTTTACACTTTAGAGCTGCCGACAGTGAACAAAGATGGTTTTTCAGTTTTGAGTCCTTTTGAAAGAAGACAGGGCCAAAGTTGATAGCTCATTTGAACGGGTTCCAGGAAGCAGTGAGGATCAGCATCACTTTTCCCAGCTGGCCCTTTTCGTTTGGGAGCAGGGGGGCATGGTGGCTGATTTTGCACTTTGAAGCTGGCGAGAATGAAAAAAGGTGTTT